TAGAACTAGTTCACGACCTCAACGCAAAAAGAGAAAACCAGCATGGTTGGAAGATTATGAGGTAAGAAGTTTACCTTAAGATGATGTTCCAATTACTCATTTTGTTTTATCTGCAGACTATAATCGATTGACACATGAAGAGGCTACTAAGAAGAAAAGTGGCAGAAATTGGTTCTATTAAAAGGAACCATACTTGGGAGTTGACAAATCTTCCAAAAGGGCCCAAGACAATTAGTGTTAAGTGGATCTACAAGACAAAGCTCAATGAAAATGAGGAGGTTGACAAATTCCAAGCTCAATTGGTGGCAAAGGGTTACAAGCAAGAGTTCGGCATTGATTGTCAAGAAGTTTTTGCTCTAATTGCAAGGATGGACACCATTAGATTGGTGATTGCATTGGTAGCACAAAGCTCATGGTCGATCTACCAACTTGATGTGAAATTAGCCTTCTTGCATGGAGATTTGCAAGAACAAGTGTTTATCAATCAACCTTCTAGTTATGTGAAACCTGGTTTTGAGCAAAAGGTCTATAGATTGAAGAAAGCATTATATGAACTAAAACAAGCACCTAGAGCTTGGTATAGTCAAATTAATGCTTATTTCTTGAAGGAAGGTTTTCAAAAGTGCCTTTTATGAGCATACACTCTACATCAAAATTGGAGATGGAGGTAAATTGATTATAGTATGCTTATATGTTGATGATTTAAGTTATACTAGGAATGATCTTGGCATGTTGGAGAAGTTCAAGCAATCCATGCAGCTTGAATTTGACATGACAAATCTAGGTTTGTTGCATTATTTTCTTGATCTAAAAGTAGTACAGTCAAATTTTGGAATATTTGTTTGTTAGAAAAAGTATGTGCAAAAAGTTTTGGACAATTTTCAAATAAAGAATTACAATTCTGCCACTACATCAATTGACTAAGGTGTAAAGCTCATGAAAGATCTATATATCAAATCTACGGATAGCAAACTGTATAAGTAGATTGTTGGAAATCTAATGTATTTGACAACAACAAGACTAGACATAATGCATGGTGTAAGTCTAATTAGTAGACATATGGAGCATCCAAAGGAGTTGCACTTCAGATTACCAAAAGAATTCTTAGGTTTTTACATGGAACTATAAATTTTAGACTATTTTACAAGAAAGGTGACTAGACAGATCTCATAGGTTTTACAGACAGTGATTATGCTAGAGATCTTAATGACAGAAAGAGCACTCCTGGGCATGTTTTTATGTTAGGATCTAGTGCAGTTTCATGGTCTTCAAAGAAGTAGCCCATTGTGACTTTGTCCACAACAAAAGTAGAGCATGTGCTACTGACTTCATATGCTTATCAAGCTATTTAGATGAGAATAGTTTTGGAAGAACTTGAGATGAATCAACATGAGGCGACTTCAATTTATTGCAACGACAGTTCAACTATCAAGCTTTCTAGAAATCCAGTTTTGCATGGGAAAAGCAAGTGTATACATGTGAGGTATCATTTCTTGTGCAACTTGGTAGAAGATGGAACAATTGAGTTGATTTATTACAAAACAAAAGAGCAAGTGGCTGATATATTCACAAAACCCCTCAAACTAACAACTTTTTTCAAGACTTAGAGAGTTACTTGGTGTTTGCATCATGAAGAATTCAATTTGAGGAAAGGCCTACAAGTTCTAGATTGCAAACATGGTGCTTTCCAAATTTCTCTAAATTGAAGTTTGAAGACTTTCAGTTTAAGGGAGCAATTGTTGGAAAGTGGTTTCTAGTTTTTAACCATTATCTCTATTATTTAGGAGGTTTACATTGTTTACTTGTTCTTTTCCTAGAATTAAGGCACCACTAGGTTGTTAATTAGTGCTCCTATTATCTAGGTTAGTGGGTATTTGTTTACTTTAATTAGGATATTTGTAAAGCCGATTTATGGCTTATTTCCTTTTGGATAATTAAGTAGAATCTTCATCTTTTCAATATTATTGTTGTATCTCATCTTGAGTTCCTGTTTCAATTCAATAGATTAATTCCCCACAATTTTCAGAGTTCTTCTTCTTCTTGGATTCTGTAACACTCTCACCTAACTATTTTCCACATTTTTATAGGTTAAATGGTAATCTTACTCCCTTAATTTTATAATTTTACAAAATGTTTATTTTTCAACTTTATTTATATATTTTTTGTTCTTTAATTTAAAAAAAAATTCTATTTTGTTAGTTAATTTATTAAAATTGTTTATATGTATGTATTAATCCTTAAAGTTATAATATGTGCATATTTTTTATCTCTAAACTTATAATATATACATATATAGACAAAATTAATGAATTAGTTGATAAATAAATAAGTACATTTTTTAAAGTTTATAGACCAAAAAAATACTTAAAATAATTGAGAGACAAAAATTATATAGAATTATAAAATTAAGAAATTAAAATTCACATTTAACATCAAAAGATTCTACTTTACCTTTTTGTTTCCATCCATTTTGTTTTCTCTAATTTAATTAGTAAAGAACTGAAGGCCATTGTGTTTTTTCTTTTTATTTATTTTTAAATCTCAGCTTGTGATTCGAACTACATAATCTCTCGAGCCCTAGTCAAGGAGACGCCCCTATAACTCCGAAGGATAGGCATGATGAGAACTGTGGAGAAAACCAGCAATATTCATTGGAGCTGCAGTGCTACTAATATTGAGGGTCTGTTTGGTATAGCGGTTAAAATTCAGCGGATAGCGGGTAGTGGGTAGCGGATAGCTGGTAGCGGATAGCAGATAGTGGTAGCGGGTAGCGGGTAGCGGGTGACGGTTAGCGGATAGCGAAAAGTGGGTAGTGGATGGTAAATAGCGGATTCGATAAATATAATTGTTTTGTTATACAATAGTTAGCGGTTGTTGTTTAA